TAAGTTTTAAACAAAAAAAAAAAAAATCCAAAGAATTGTTTTTGGAATCAGAAATTAGCTTAAAAATTCTCCAATTACCACCAAAAGTTCCAATATTTCCAATTCTTGATTCGGATTAATCATTCCATCACTAAAAATTATATTACAAAATGTGTTCACATTATGTCCATCATGTTTTTTTCAATTATTTTCCCTTTACTTCAATTTCCCAAACATCAGGCCAATGCTTTACTGTGATAATTTAAATAATTAATATTTCTTTCAATTTAGATTAATTAAACTTTAAATAAGCTAATTTTTCTCAAATTAAGTATCAAAAAATTATACTGCATTTTTGAAAGATTTTTTTAATAAAGAGAAATTATATTTTGTTATCAGATCTGTCAACATGGGCAAATTTATCAATTATACTGATGAGGAGGAAAAAAAATTCCAATTAGCTTAAATTCAGTTTGAAATACACCAATTTTGGGTAAACATGAGCATGCCCACAATAAGACAGTGTTGAAAGGATGGTTTTTCATGTGACACTGCTTTTTTAACTACTTTCATTCTGTAGTAATATTGTTTAAAAAGCAATGATTAGAATTGGAATAAAACTTAAACATATGAAAGTGAATTTATACATTTTCTTTGTTCTTCAGAATTGACAACAAAAATAATAAACACTATTTATTTATTAGATTGTTTATTGGAATATCTGGCAGAACATTGGTTAATTGCCATTTGATTCAAACTTTATAAAATGGTAAATAACAAGGATTTCCTTAGAGTTGGTTCACATATTTTAATAATTTAGTAAATGTTTATAAATTTATGAATAAAAAATTGTTTTCACATTTATTTCTTTATAAATTGGTAAATGATAAAAATTGCATTGCATTAGTTTTAATTGTCTTAATATAAAATTATTCTTGTAAATAAGCAATCTCATAGTGTTTAATATTTTTGTTGTAAATTCTCAAAAACCAAAAAAAAAAAAAAAAATGTATAAGTTCCCTTTCATTATAGGTTTAGGTTTTATTACAATTCTTTAGAGTAAGACATCAAACAATACTTAGGAAAAAAGGGTCAAATTTAGGAACATTAGATTACCTCCTCGGTTATCCATTGAACTGCTATCCACCAAAAAAAGAAAAGAAGCTAGTCACCACCGTGGACCATTTAAAAGATGGTCCTAACAGCGGATTGGTTGTTACAAACATCCATTCGGGTGTGCGTAAAACATGGTCTTTCTTTCATCTAATTCATTAAAAAGTCCAGAGTAGCTGTTACCATTTGATTGCGAGGGAGAATCAGTTATTGATCTCCTCTGATTGAGTCGACTTGGTGATGGGGTGTATGATGTTGAAAAACTCAAAACTCCCTGATGAACCAAGTCAAAATACATCACTGACAACCCCCCCTTATGTGCCTACTTAAGAGCGTATTTTGGAATTATGAAATAATCATCACTTTTTTTTTTTTTTTTTTTTACAGAATGAAGGTTGTTAAAAAAATGATGTCATCGGAAAAACCGTCCTTTTGACACGACATCTTATTGTAGGCAGATTTGTCCATGTTTGCTGTATTTTACTTACTGGGAATATTAACTTTAATCTATTAATTTGGAATTAAAACTAAAATTAAAGCTTCAAGAAAGATTCCGGACTTTTTTCAAATGCATTTTAAACTTTGGTATCGTTCAGTCTCCTAAAATTATTTTATGGCCACCTATATGCAGGCAAAGAGAAAAATAAGAGGAGTGGGACTTATATTAGATCAAGACATGAAGAAATCTCTTCTGTCATACTATTTACTACCCGATATAATTCTAGATGTTTGTAACAACCAATCTGCTGCACAAACTATCTTTTAAATGGCTCACAGTAGGGACTGGCTTCTTTTCTTTTTTTTTCCGGTGGATTGCAGTTTCAATGGATAACCAAGGAGGTCAATTTTAATGTTCCTAAACATAACCCTTTTCCCTAAGTATTGTGTAGTGTCTTACTGTAAATATTTACCGTTTTTAATTTATTTGTGTTTATCTCTTTTAGAGGGGGGGTACTTAAACTCTACTATGACCTTTTTTTTTTATCATCTAGCCTGATACTTAACATTATTACAGGTCAGTTAACTTTTAGAATGCAATCATTTAATTTCAGAATATGAGGCTAGGTGATGTGCAAAAATTCTATGTCTTATTGGTCACAGAAGTTGTAATGTATTTCATTTTTTTTTTATTTGTGGAAAAGAAAAATAGCATTCATAATATAAGGTTAGAATTTGGAATGCAAAAATAAAAATCTTAGTTGCAATGGAGTGAAATGAATTTCCTAGGTACTGACAAAATAATTTTTATTTTTTTTTTTTTGCAATGAAAGCAAAAGATATTTTTATTTGCATCTTTGTCACATATCTTTGATATAATTTGTGCTTACTCCAGAACATCTCCAAATAATTCCAACAAAACACTTAGCATAGTTTTGTTGTCTACGTATAGATTTGCATATAGTATATTGCATATCTCTGTTGAATAAACCATTTTCACTTAGCCAATTTTATTGCTCCAGAACTACTTAAATAGGCTGGTCCACTCATAAAAAAGAAGGAAAAAACTGGGGTGGCAGGTACTACTTCTTAGAATTAAAAAAAAATTTGTTATCAATTTAGAAGGGGTGAGGATCCTGTTTATAATATTACCATAGTGTCAAATTGGCCCCTGACTTTTACAGAGTTATCGGCCTTAGCAGTTTTGTGCATGAAAACAAACAGCTTTTGAGTGGTTTGCAAAAAGATTTTTTTTAAATAACGAACAAATGTTTACATAAATTAATAAAATTATGTGTTTATTTTACCCTTCATTTAAGATAAATGATTTTAAACCACAAAAAATGATTTTTTTTCTTAAAATTCAGAAAATCAAAAAGAAGAAAAATGAACATAACAATGTTGATTGATTTGCTTTTTATGGTTTGTCAACCTTTTTATGCTGGTTATTTAAAGCCAGAAAATAATTTTAGATTTTAAACATTTTTTGGAGATAATAATTTACTGATACAAATCTTACTCATTAATCCAGACCTAACGAGGGGGAAAAATAGCAGAAAAAGAAAAAGAGGAAACAGAATATCTTTCCCAAGGATATTTGTGCATAATAAACCCTAGTGGAATTGGAACTCAGCAATCTGATTGCCAATTCCAAGCTGCTATCCATTACATAGGTATCGAAAATTAGTGGCGATACCTAACAATTAAAATGAATTTTTTAAAATGAAAAAACATTCTTGAAGTTTTCTTTTTATTGAAAATTAAATGATTAAAAAATTTACTATTTCCAATAAGCAAAATACTCTGGTGTAGTTCACATAGAAATTATATTGATTGGAATTTCAACTTTTTGCTCACTTTCAGTAAAATCAGCCATTTTTGACACATTTGTAAACAAAAGTTAATTCTTGGTTTTAAAAATCTTCCAAAAATAAAATATACTTTTCTGAAACTGTATTTGTGGAATATTAGCTGATTTAAAGTATAATTAATATGATTTGAAACAAATATTATTTACATTATTTTGAAATTAACAGGGAAATGTATTAAAAAAACAAAAACAGTAGCAGTGATTTGCATGCTTTTTATTGCTAGTCAATTACTTGACAACCACTGTTGACAGTTCTACAGAGACTTTATCTATTAAAACATAATTTAATAAAATGATGGATAAGTGCCTTTTTTATATAATTTTTAAGTAAGTAATCTTAAAAATGATGGAAAATATTCTCCGTAATCTAATTTTAGGAACGTTGATTTTAAATTTACTATAGTAATTGCTTTTATTTTCTGAATGTCATTATGGTCAATCATACTTTCAAACAGGGACAAGTTATGTAATATTTTTATTTTATATAGAAAAAAAAATTATTTTAAAAATCTTAGTGCATAATAACTTGCAATGTAAATATAGTTTTCACTTAATAACAAATATGATTTAAAAGATGGAAATTAATACAGAACTTTAAGAGTTAAAATTTTATAAATGATCACAAATAAAATTATAAAAGAAATGAAAAAAAATTCTTGAAAAAAATTAATTATTCATTAATACTACATCGGCACATCCAAGTTTGCAAGCAAGGTCACCCATCTATAGTTGAGGATCAATGATGCTTAACCTCATTGATCATACAAGAAGCTTAATCACTTAACAGTTATTTACAAAAATGTCATCGGTATCGAACTTACGGTAACATCACGTGATACGACCGTAAGCCTGATATCAATGACTTTTTTGTAAATAACAACTAAGGCCAATAACTCCGTATAAGTCAGGGATCAATATTGCATGATATTGATATTAAACAGGACCCCTTATTAAATTGATAACAAATCAATATTTTTCAACTAATTTAAATAATAAAAAAAAAAAAAGATTTTAATTTTAACTTTTTAAGAAATCACGTCTTATGAGAATTTATTTTTGGCTTCCATAGTGTTCATGTTTTATTTTTATATTTTTAAGAATTTAAAAATAGCACCCACCTAATTAATTTTTAAAAAATTTAACATAAAATAAAAAAATAACCTTGATATCCGTGATCTGGAGAGTTTGATCAATATCAATAACCAATCAATAGTATAATAGGAAAAATAAAACTATAAAAAAAAAAAAAAGATTTCTGGTCGTAAATGCCTGTTAGTGTTGTGTTGTTTATGTAAAACTCCACCAAATAAACATCTCTTTGACAACCGAGAGCTTTTAAAATCCAAAGTGTTATAATTTTAAAAAGCACGCAAACTCCTATCCCCAACTTGACGCAACAGAATCTTCCTACTTCAATTTAGGCTTGTATAATAAATGACAAAAAAAAAACAGTAAGAAGCAAATGCAATCATACATACAATGAATAAACTGGCTATTTACATAGTCCAGGCAATTTATTTAATATATTTCGAGATTGAAAAGTGGTATATACACAGCGAAGTCAACAACCAATATTATTCTGATTTAAAAACTATCTTACTTGTTCGAGAAGAGCACTTAATTCAGTTATTTCTCTCTCGATGTCTTCTTTTCGCATCACAAGTTCCTCCATCTTGGATTTTGGGCGACTAGCTTTTCTTTCTTGCTGTAGCCGCATTTCGTAGCCGCCAAAATTACCAGGTATATGCAGATTTTGATGATATATAAATTTTTATGTAACAGAACAATGTTATTGTTAGACAAAGCAGAAAATATTTATTGTGTCGTCTTTTAGGACTTCATTTGACTAATATGAAATTTAATTAGGTACCTCCATAGTAAAATAACATAAATTTTCAGCACGTTTTTTTTTTGTATGACAGACATTAATTCGGAAAATCTTGCAAAAATAAAAATAATTGTCGGATGTTAATGAAACTTTCAGAAACTATTCACAAATGATGGAAATTATTATAAATATGTTTTCTTTTTTTTAAATCATGGAAAAAATATTTTTTTATATTTATTACCCCCCACCACTAACTAATTTTATGAAAACTCTAGAAATTCAGTCGCATTGAGTTTAGTGATTATATTAGTTAAAAGCACAAGGCTTTGAGGAAAGCAAATCATGTATTTTTTTTTCAATTGGACCCCCCCACCTGAAAATCAGCTCTGAATTGTAACATACAAAACTCAATAAAACAAATATATTATTTAATTTCAAATGCTTTTATTTGCTTTTAGTTGTTTTTATGACTAGAGACAATATTTTTCTGAAAGCAAAAAATTTTTTCAATGAAAAATGAATTTTTAATACAATTATTTATTATTTCTTTAATTATAATAGATTTTTACATTTAAGTTGTTAAAATATAAAATTAGTTAAAAGCTGCATTCAGTTTCGTAAATCTCCTTATGAGATAGATCTTTTTTTAGCTCGTTGTAAATTGTATTGTTTTGATTAATTAGAAGACCCGCAGTAATTAAGAAATGTAATTTTGTGTTCATAATCGGGCTGTAATTATAAAGTACGGAAGACCAACCATAATACAATTAAGTTTCGTTATTTGAGTTAAGCATTGTTCTCCGCTGTTAAGGCCTTTAGTTTTGCGAAACACGTGTGGAGAAGTTAATTTGATTTTTCAATTTCAACTGAGAAGGGTACCTACAAGTATCAGTATCATCTTATGAAATTTATATGATCTTATTTTTATATTAATCACAGTTATGACATTTTCCATAAATGAAATAGCAAAATTAATAATAAAATGTGTAGCGGTTGCTATGTTTTTCCACGCCCACATTTTATTCGCCTGCGATTGGCTAAAAAATCACTACTACCTTTATATAGAACAATTTAGCCATCGCAGTCGTTTCTTTGAATCTTCGGTTTTGAGCTTGCTTGCCTGTTCTGTTAGTACGAATATAGTGATTGGTTAATTTTTAACCAATCACATATTTTATGCAAGATTAAGTTTTCCCGCGCTGCCGTGGGAGCCTACCCTTTTTTGCTTTAAAGGGGCGACTTTTCGCAAGTCGTCAGTAAGATCCCAGCCATCCGCACAAATCCACGATGTTACTCGTCACATTTCAAACAAGCACACAGACACAGAATTTCGTAATATAAACTTACATTTCTCTTTGTGACTTTTGCCAAGTTCAATCAACCAGAACTCTGTTGATTCAAACCATTCTATAACACAACACATTTTTAATTAATTGTATTTTGGGGTTATTTATTCTTAATATGCAAACTTTGCTCTAATATTGATTTCTGAACATTTTTCTTTCAAGAGAACTTTCTTCGAACAGTTACAAAGCAATCTACAGTTAAAGGGGAACAACTTCTTTCCCTTAATCTATACATTGAACACAATTTTATTGCATGTTTGTTCTTGTATGTCATTTCAATATATATTTGTTGATTAACAATTTGGAGTTATTGTTGTTTACTTGAATCCTGTACGTTGGGAATATCGCTAATATAAATAGTATTGGTCTATCTACAATCGGGCCTTTTACAAATGAATGGAAATACAAATTGTGATGATTTACCACGGAGCTCGAACCGTGTGCGAACGTGTCTTGCTTGCATGATAAATCCAAAAGGAAACATGGCTGCTGTCGGGAACGCGATTCGTGCACGCCGGTCTCGTCCAAAATGAGATTGTACCAGCACACATGAAAATTTGAGCAGTGTCGGACTAGTATAAAAAGGCGAGGCGCCAGCGGCACAACAGACGGCGAGTTATTTCGGCGGACTTCGTGAAACAGAGTCAGACGTGCGAATAGCCTGCCAGACCAAGAGGCGGTTGAAGTAGGCGCGTTTGATTTGGGTGTCCGTTTCACGACTGCCCGGTGTAAACGGCCGAGAAAAGGAGTCTCGCAATTCATTTCTTTGAGGCGACTGACGGCGAAGAAGAACAGCTGGTTTGCCGGCGAACCCTCTCGTCACTTCTTTGTTTCTCTCTCTTCTTTTTCCTACACAAATAACACAATAAAATGTAATAAATGTACATAAAATTAAAGTATTTTATGTACATTTCTGATAAAATTTCACAAGAAGGGTACCTATAAATTAATTAGATACCTTTCTTATGAAATTTAATCTCACTCTCAACATTCTTATTTTAATTTCTTTATAATATATCTTCCATAAAGCATCGTAAACGTAAAGGTGAAAGCTAAGTACAAAAAATTTGAACGCTGAAAGTTTTCCTTAAAAATAGCGAGGTAAATAATTTGTTCACTTAAATCTAAATAATTTCACTTCTCTCCTTCCGTAGAATAAATTATCCTCCCGTAATTTATCAATACATTCAACACCTGTCAAGTGACGCGAAATGTTATGACCTGCTTTGTTTTATTTTCAAACTACACCTTTTCGGAGCAGAAACTAAATAATGCTTGTATGAAAATATTTTAAATAAACACTATAATTTCTGATTTTCTTAAAATAAGTTTTGAAAAAAATTATAATAATTGATTTTTAAAAGAATTTCAAACTGAGATTTTCATTTTTTTATAAAAATGGGAAAAAATGGTTGACATGATTGATTATCTGTCACTTTTGCTGACTCAAAAAAAAAAGATTTTTAACGAAAATTTCGGACGTGCGAGGAACGATTAAAAAAATGTAAAAAAAATTACCCCCCCCCAAATTCTTTGATCTTTCCTCTTAATAATAACAAACATTTAGACGATAAAATTTTGTTTTCGTCACGTTTGGCGTCTTTTTCATCATGCTATGCTCTTTTTTAGCGATCTCATGGAGGTACCTAAATTTAATCAAGTGATATTTTAGTTTTAAATGTGACGCCACGGGTGTTGGAATTTATTTTGAGACCGGTATTTTTTTACAAGTTCACATTCTAGCTGTTTTTTCTATCCTCACTCCAACATCTCTTTTTACTTTCAAAACCGGCTCCCAAAGACTTGATTCTTATGAGAGATATGAATATATATTCTGACTAATGAGAGAGTTAGAAAATATAAAAAGGAATTCCACCACCATTAATCTTTCCATGGTGCCATAAAGTCTGGGGGAAACCTCACAGCTTCTTCATTCCAACCTGTTTTCATTACTTTGAAAACCGGCTCCCAAAGCCTTGATTCTTATCAGAGATAAGAATGCGTTTTCTGACCAATGAAGGGGCCAGAAAATTTGTATAACAAATAATATTTGGAGGGAAAAGTCCCCGATCTTTCTGAGCCTCCCAAATCTCCATAAATTTGGAGAATCTTCGCCTATTTGGCAGTGAGGCGACAGCTCACTGTCTGTAATGTCGACGATATGGAGCACCAGTCAAGTTCAGAATCATTTTCAATCAAAGAAGAAATTCCTGCCGGGATGGAGGGACAAACCATCAGCCCACTACTAAAATCCAATTGAAAGCTGCATCCCTTAACCACTCCTTCTGCCGTGACTACTTGACTTCTGTCGTCGACCTACGAATTCACTCAACTGCAAAATTCTTATATCTACCAACAATTTACCTACTCTACAAGAACTGTGAGTGTTTCTAAACCATAACAAAATTCTAATCGCTCTCAGAGAAATATTTTGAGCAAGCTTATTTTTTGTTATGAACATTTTCTTTTCCCTTAAAGGACATTTTCTTCTCCCTTTCTTTGTCTAGTAATTGTCTTTTTATCCCTTGACCCTTTTTTTCTGTATATGTAAATAAACACTTTCTTCTTTTATTGTTACACACCAAGCAGGAGTTTTTTTTTTCTTTATTCGTCCGCGCCTAAAAGAGAGAGTTTGTCCGCTCTAATCTTCACGTTTTTTACTTGCGTTTTGTACCAATTTTTTAACCTCAACCCTTGGATGCGGGAAAACCGGGACAATATTTCCCTGCACGGGAGGAGACGCTGAAATTTTAAACTTTTACGCATAATTTTGTCTGGCACGTCGGGTAGGTTTTTATCATCACTCGGTACTGTCTTCAGGAAGAATGCGGCTCAGTTGCGGCTCTGTCGGAGGGCAGAGGCACAACTGAAGAAAATCACACTGTAGGGTGCCCAGCCCTGGGGAACAGATGCCCGAGGCGGCACACTCTCATTGCACTAGAGAGAGGGATCGATGCTCGTACCGAGGCCAGCGCAACGGATGGTTGTAGGGGCTCTGGGAATTTTTGTTCTTGGCCCGGTGTACGCGCTCGGGTTCCCCACATTAAACCCGATCTTATATCACATCCTATCTCAGTGGGAAGGCTAAGGTAAATATTTAGTTGTGTCTGGGTTTCTTTAGTTTATATAAAAACGAGGAGGAGGCTTTCTCTTCCTCTCTTGTCAAATCTCTGCCCCCAGCGTCTCGTTTGGGGAGATAGACAAACCCGATCCCGTGTATACGGGGTCTATGGGCAATTTTTGCCCGAGGCTACGAGCTCGGAACGTCTCACGTTAAAACTGGCGTTGTGCCACATCTTACCTTGTGGGGAGGTTGGTAAATAATGAGATGCAAAGTAAGTCTTCTTATAAGTACTTTCACCAGGCCGTTGTTAGGTGTCACTCTTATGCACCTATAAAGGTGGGACACTTCTCGTCTTCTTTTTCTTGCGGCAGCATCAGCAGCAGTTGGAGCATGCGACAGATGTGACATCACCGGGACCTTGTTTCCGGGTATGAGGATATCTTTCCCCTGCCTGAACTTGGGGGTGGGGGTTATAGATC